TAACGACAAACTTTTCAAGACGGAGATTCACAACTAAAAAACGTATGTCTTTGAGGTTACCGAACAAACGTTCACAGACAGGGGTATGTTTATTTTTTTTGTATGAGGGAGATGGAGATATAAAGCTACAACTATATATTTGGGAGATAATGTTTGCTACAAAAAGGTCTTTTAGGTGTTTTCGATGGTTCTTGAAGTATAAGGAAGGAATGTTGAAATTGGTATCAAAACTCGCGCAAAATACTCCGCATGCTACGTACGTTATCCACGTTATTAGCATGTACTCGTAATATTACTTACTTACACGTTCGTTATCTATGTTAAATCGTTTGAAACTTTACTTTTTTGAAAACTTTATTGAGGTCTGTACGTATAGACCATTTACTTTACAAAGTTACAAAGATTGCAAGTACTGACTGTTACGGAGTCTATCGGGTATTGAATATAGAGATGTACCCGCATGACTAATTTATACAATTTGAGTAGAAAATAGATAATAGCATCAGCAGAAAATATACAATAACAATAAATAATGGACAAACAATAGCCTACTGGGAAACAGAGATACTAAGTAAGCAACTGATTAGCGAGAAGTTGTGATCTTGTGCTAACGCAGCGTCTGGTGTAACATTGTATGCTAACTTAATAACTGCGTAGTTACCAAGGGCATATAACATATATGATCAAGAATAGCATTTTAAAGTAAATCTATTTGCCACATTAAAGTATGGAAAATGTAATACTTTTTGATGATTTGTGATGTTTTCATCATGAAGTCGAAACCACTCACTGCCATCAGTCTGATTATTGGTAATTTCATCACTGAGTAATTTAAGTAACAGTTGTAGCAATTGTAATGCAAGAGGAGATGTAGTTGATAATGCTGACTTATGAAATCACTCCCTTTCCATTAAAATTGTTGCAACAATTGCTGAGGATACGCAGTGACAAATTGCCAATAGTCAGACTGGTGGAAGTGAGTGACTTGCATTTTCATGGTGAAGCCATCATAAAATTTTCCATACTTGGCAGTTAAGAATTGATTCACTTTAACGGTATTCTTGATCATAGATCATGTCTACTTATGGAGGTATCCCTACATGAAAACAAAATCGAAATCGAAAATCTAATTACATGCGCCTTTACCGTTAAATTTCTCGCAACCTACTGACTATATGACCAGTTTCTATAAAAGCAAATGACAAAAAATTCATCGACACAAATTGTTTTTATTACTTTTTACTTAGGAACGATTGTTTTCAAGATTTTCAATTAAACAGGTTTATGAAAATGGCAGCAAATCCTCTAGCCCTATCATGACGCCAATTCGAAGTTATCATCAGGAAGCGATAATCTAACGATACCATCGAAAAAAATTACTGACGCGAAAATTGTAGAAAATTACCTTTTCCCTGGCCTATATGTTTACACAACATCATTTGTCAAATGTACGTAATTTTAGGGCATACTTTTGTATAGATTTGCGAACCGATGCCTATTGATGAACCAATATATCGGCGTACATTATTTCCTCTGGAAAGTATATTCCAAGTAGCCATTCGTGCTGGGTATATAATAATATTCACGTACAGCAGGGCAAAAGTACGATGCGATGCGAATCGCTTAGTTATTGATAATAACAGTAGTAAAATAAAAAAAAACACAGAAACGAGAGTAAATACTTATTAACAGTACAGCATATGTTCGATGATAACGTTTTTCGGTTTTAATTCAGCTTAAATTGCTATTCGCAATCCACGCATTCCGGACGTAAACTCACTCCACTCTCGGAATGTCCGGGTGGAGGGTGGGCTCGAGGGAACAACATCGAAGATAAAATTTGTTTTTCGAACATCTGCGGGATCAACAGCAACATTGATGCTGTTCATCACTACCTGCAATCCAATCGTCCCACCGTGCTTTCTTGGCGGAGACAAAAATCTCAGAGACTGCACCGATTAACCATCTCAACTTCCCAAACTACGAGGTGCACTCCAATCTGAGAAAGAACGTGGGAGTTGTGGCTTTTGTCCGCAGCAGTCTTTCCTGCTCCAGGGATCTTTCTTTGGAATCAGACCGGAAGGACATTCTGTGGCTTCGCCTCAACTCCAAAACATCACCCAAATTTATTTGCTGCCTTTATCGCTCTCCCTCGAACCATAACTGGGATGACCTACTCGAATACTTCGCCGTCCAGATCGACTTCCTGAACATCAATCACCCCGCTTCAGAGGTAGTTCTTCTCGGTGATTTCAATGCCCATAATGAGCTTTGGTTGGGCTCAAATAAGACCGATGCAGCAGGTCGTGCAGTCGAAGCGTTCGCTCTCACTCAAGGGCTTACCCAGCTGGTGACGAGCCCTACTTTTTTCCCCCGCGTCTCGTCACACGCCAGTAGCCTGCTGGATCTCTTTCTGGCCACGCATTCTGCCCCTTACAGCACTGCTGTCCTGTCCCCCCTGGGTAACTCAGATCACGGTGTTGTGGAGGTTAGGTTTCGGTCAGAAGCCGCTGTGGCAGCAGAAACTTGCACAGGCCGCAAAACTTGGCATTACGGACATGCCGACTGGGAGGGGCTCAGAGACTTCTTCTCTAGCTTTCCTTGGAGAGATGTCTGTTTCACTGACGCGGATGCGTCGACTGTCTGTTCTTCAATAACCGAAATTATTCACGTCGGAATGGAGGAATACATCCCTCACACAGTGAAAGTTCCTAAACCAGAGCCCAACGGCTGGTTCAACAAATCGTGTGACACTGCTCGCCAGCAGAAGATCAAGGCCCACAGAACCTACTTACAAAACCCCACTGTAGAGAACAGACAAGCCGACGTCGCCTCCAGAAACAAATATAACGAAGCGGTTCGCAATGCCAAAAACCAGCATGATATAAAAGTTAGGCACAGGGTAATGTCGCAGCGCAATGGCAGTCGGTCTTTCTGGACGCTGGCCAAGCAGATTGAAAAGAACTTCTCACACAGTAGCCTTCCACCACTTACGTATCAGGATGGAACTATTGTATTCGACGCAAAGGCCAAGGCGGAAGTGCTAGCCAAGATCTTTGCTGCCAACTCCACCATGGACGTCCCCACCAACGCCCAAGTGCCGTCAATTCAAAGGGTTCCCCACACTATGCGAGAGGTAACATTCAGGCATAAGACTGTAAGACGAGTGCTCTTGTCGCTCGACATCAACAAAGCTTCTGGTCCGGACTTGATTCCTGCCATTGTACTGAAGAGATGTGCAGCGGAGCTTGCTCCAGTTCTTTCGCGTCTCTTCCAGATATCTTATGAATCTGGCACCTTCCCTGAAAACTGGAAATTTGCTCATGTACAGCCCATCCCAAAAAAAGGATCTAAAACCGACCCTTACAACTACAGGCATATAGCTCTGCTTTCTGTTATAAGTAAAGTGATGGAGAGGTGCATAAATCGCGAGCTTCTAGACTACCTCGAACGTCACAGCTTGATTAGCGACAGGCAGTACGGTTTCCGGCACCAACGATCCACAGGGGACCTCCTAGCTTACGTCACGCAACTGTGGAGTAAACTCATCCAGTCTCATGGTGAGGCTCATGTCGTTGCTCTTGACATCACGAAAGCGTTCGATCAGCTGTGGCACGCTGCCCTCTTAAGCAAACTTCCATCCTACGGCCTCCCAGAAAAGCTTTGCAGATGGGTGGCTGACTTTATCTCTGGCCGCAAGATATCCGTCGTAATTGACGGATTCTCCTCTTCATCCCACAACGTCAACGCGGGTGTTCCCCAGGGATCGGTCTTGGCTCCAACACTGTTTCTCTTACATATCAACGACCTCCTTTCCTGCACGATCAATCCAATCCACAGCTTCGCTGATGACAGCACTCTACATGGAGGAATTCAGAGTGACAAGCCGATGTCTGCCGCTGAGCTGGAAAAAAGAAGACTAGCGACGACTTCTTCTCTGACAAGAGACCTGGAAGCTATCACTGCTTGGGGACGCAACAATCTTGTACAGTTCAATGCTTCCAAAACACAGTACTGTACTTTGACGAACAAAAAGCGTCCTAGCGCTCATACAGTTTCGATGGACGGTCGAGTTCTACCAAAGAGCCATTCATTTCGGCTGGTAGGAGTCCAGATCACCGAGGACCTGATCTGGTACGAACACATCTCTTCAATAGCTGCAGCTGCTGGGAAAAAGCTAGGCTATTTGTTTAGGGCTAAGAAGTACTTTTCTCCGCATGACCTTCTCACTCTATACAAGGCCCAGATAAGGCCTAGCCTCGAGTATTGCTCACACATTTGGGGTGCTGCCACCCCGACTACATTGTCCATGCTCGATGCTCGATCTAGCTCTTTCTATCGCTACACCAACGGGCTTTGCTCCTCAGAGATCTCTTCCATGATGCCGCCGCGCGATGTGCCTGCCAGACAGACCCGCCTGACTTCGGCGTCCCATCCTAACCGTGTCAAACTTCGTACATCCAGAACTGGCCGATACGACCGCTCCTTTGTTCCGAGGGTGTCTAGATTGTGGAACAATCTACGGGAGGAAGCTTTTCCCAGTTCTACTAACCTTAGGCAGTTCAAAAATCGTATTAACAAAATTTCTTTGGGATCATCATAGCAGCCGCGGTGTTCCGGCATTTAGGCTTCTGCCTGCGCGGCTGTTTCGATATAAAAAAAAAAAACGAAACTGTTCTCCAGTTTCGGAAATTCGACGTCAGTAAAGAGTACATAGTTTCGTTTAACCAGAAAAGCATAAAGTTATGGCAACAATTGTCATACTTGATTGATGGTTCAGAAGCTACCCGCACAAGAACTTTTTGCTACTCGTACTTATTACCTTATTCGAGTATCCAAAGTGGACGCATTATCTGCCGAATTTTCATTCGTCGACGGATGAACATGTCGAGGAGATTATGAAGTTGCATAGAATTCCATCTTTAAAAACTTTAAATTTAGAACGTTTAGTATAATGCGCCCATTGCAGAACTGTTGACTGCATACAGAACGGACCTTTCCTAAAAATATGTTTGAAGAGCCTTAACGATGTTCATATTAGTAATTAAAGATATTACAATTGATTTTGCTTGCTATTTTTAGGTAATAAGTAAACTAGTAATGATGTTCACAAAAAAATCTGAAGTCCGAGATATGCTCCACAAAATAGAGAATTTATTTTGGGAAATCGAAAACGTACCTAGTGACGAAGAGAAAGAAGAATACATGGAACTCATACAAAATGCAAAATACTTGTTCCATATCCGTATATTTTTATTCATGATCTGGCTTTCCAGTTCTCTTAGGTAAGGCAACCTTTGAAATGAAATTATGTTGATTAATTATGATTCTATGATGATGTAGAGTTCCAATTTGGGAAAATATCCTTCTCATATGATAAAATATAATTTTATACCGGATTTGGCATATATTTTGATTTTAGCACTGCCTCTGTTGATCCAAATTTACTATTGTAAGGTGTTATCACATCATGCCAAACAACTAAACTGACAAAAAATGTCACACCCCAAGCAAAGAACAATTAAATCAAAAGAATTTCTATTATTCTATAATCTGATGGAGCTTGGGTTTGTTAACTATTCGTTATTGTTCGTCAAAGCGGTCCGGTTTACGTTTGCTTTAAGTTAAAAGTCTCATTGGTCTGTTGGTCTGTCAGGTCTGGCTACCCAGATACCAAACATGTTTAAGGGGAAAAAGGAAAGAAGGGAAGAAAGGAAGGAAGAAATAGAGCAAAGAAAAGAAGTAAATCATTTGAAATAGCTCAAGCATTATTGCTTTAACTATTCGAGTATAGTCAAAATCACGAAAGATTTTTTCTCGAAATACCATTCAGAATTTCCACAATAATCATGTGGTCAGAAGAAAATCTATATACCGTAATCGAAACCCATTTCCAACACCAATTTTCGGTTAACGTATGGGCAGGAATTATTGGCAACCACTCTATTGGCCCATTCTTCTTGCCGGGTCGACTTTACGTACAGACTTACCTCAATTTTCTTCAACAACAGTTGCCTTTGCTGCTTGATGATGTTCTGTTAGCAATAAGAAACAGTATGTGGTACATGCATGATGGTGCACCAGCGCATTTCAGTGTAGCGGTTCGTAATTATTTACAAAACTGTTTATCCAAATCATTGGATTGGCCGCAGTGGGCCCCAAGAATGGCCACCAAGGTCCCCAGACCTCAACAGTTTAGATTTCTTTTTGTGGGGCTATCTTAAGACACTAGTGTACACAAGTACCATTAAGACTGTACAGGAATTAAGAGAAAGAATAGTTGCAGCTTGTGATAGAATAAAAAACATTCCAGGGATATTTCAACGAGTGCGCAATTCCACTTAGTTTATCAAGCAAACTAACATTAGTTTTGCATGTAGATTCACACCCTTAAATATTCGCATATCATTAAGGAACACCCTGTAGATCAGTGCGTCTGTCAGGAGTTACCTTGGCATTGTATATTGAAGTGGATTAAAAATTGTGGAGCTGCGTTTCTATGCGCTTGCGAAATTGCTCTACACGCGACAGAGGATTAATTTGCGATTTCACCGGAATTTTCCTCGTAGGAAGCCACCACTGCATGCTGCGCTTGCTATTTCTCTAATACCAACGTCATCCGTTATAGATCTGCGCTCATAACGACAGGAATATTTAAGTCTTTTTGTATAACATTCTGGAATTTTATTTTCATAAAAAGGTCGGCAATATTTCTGATATGTTTATATCGATAGAGTTGGATGTCCCCTGTACCCTCAGAATATTCCCTATGCCAGTGCTTCCAAAACTGCCCGCCGCAGCGCTCAGAGACAACGTAAGGTACTAAGTATTACATTATATTTAAGATTTTTTTCAGAATAGCAGTCAGTCTTCTTAACTATCACTACGTTAAAATATATATAGTATTCCTGCATCAATGTGGTCACCAAAATTTTTAACTTGCTAACTTGACTTGTTCAAAAAATAAATTTAGTATCTTTTTGAAAAGCACTGTACGCAACCCAGAAGGGGTGACTTCGCCAAACTGTTTAGCCAGATTACGCGTCAAACATATCAGATATTCCAAAAACCTTGGAATAGTGGAATATTGTCATTTCATTTTGAACATCTGGCAACCCTGTCGGACAAGCCGAAGCACTGTCAAAATGACGCGTAGGAGAGGGCTGCTGCCGCTACATGTTAGAGTCCAACAAAGATATAATATGCTACATACACACAAACAGACAGCATTCGTTTACCAGTGGTTTTCATATGCTCGATTTATCACGTAGCATTGAAATCTCAAGCTGTCAAGTTCAAGTGCGATCTATTACCGGAATTGACCACTGCGAGACTGAAAACAGCAAACTCTACATTTGTTATTTACCTTACTATCCACTTACCTAAGTGTCCCTGATTTTCTCACTACCCATTCACCTTTTCAGTTTTTTGATAGTTTATACAGGGTGGTCAAGAACACAAAATAAACGATTACTCAACATGTTCGAAAAGAACACCCTGTATGTTTCCACACCCTTTGATTCCTCTTCTCACAAGCTTACTACTGATATAAAGTTCATCAAGGTAAATGAAAAATATTACAATATCTTCCAAAATAATAAATAATATAATATTTAATTGGTAACAGCAGGTTGTTCCAATTGGTGCGTTTTCATCATTAATTAAATCTACCCAACCTAATGCAATGAAGTCAAAAATCAAGAAGGTATCCCTGTGTTATTTGAAAGAATCAGGTTAGCCGACAACTTCTGAATTGGAAAAAAATTTACAAACAGCATGGTGACTTATTACCAGCCTATTTGTAAAATGCATATCAAGGTAATACGACAATTTTATTTTATTAACATAAAAAACCGTCAATTCATCTCAACAACAATAAACATTTAGAGCGAAACTTCAAGACGTGCCTTCTTCCATCCTGGATAATATTGGCAGCGATATCCTGGACGCAGGGAGCTACAACTAAAGACCTAGAACCTAATCGATCGTTTAACTTGCACTGGCTTGGTTAAATATCAGAAACATGAAAGAACCATCACTGTCTTTAAGATAGCGAATTTCATGAGAAGGATAATAAGCATTACACAGTACATTACCACCAGATTGCACAGTTGGAGTACTATATAGGTATAAATAGCAGTATTATCGGCACGCTATCTTAATGTCCGATTTACAAAAAGGTTAACTGTAACTAAAAAATCATACAAACCCTCATAAACCCCATATCAAAAGAAAGCTTGTCAAGAGAGAAATCAAAAATGTTTCAATTGAAAATTTTACGAAAACATTCGTGTTGCGCTATAGTAGACACTCAAAAAGAAAACTGAAAAATTAGGTAGAAAGAAAATATGGGATCGTCAATGTTTTCTGACGAAAAATTCAGTACTATAGCTTGAACAGCTGCGGATCGATTGGCCAATATCTAAACATGTTAAAAATAAAACCCCGCAGTATTTCATATCAAATTGTTTCGTTTATAAGCACCTATCCAAATCCACAATAGGAATTAAAAAATGTGTCTTTGTGTCACTACGTAGTCAAGAATCTGTAAATGTAGAGATAAAAATGTTGGCTACAATTTTTTAACGGAGTTGCCGGTTGGACCCACACTAATAACTCATCCTGTAAAGCTTCTCCTTATAGTAATGCGGCAGTTTCTCAGGATAATAGTGAAACATAATTATATATTGTAATGTCACGTATTCCTGTTAAGGGGTGATAGATTAGGTCAAAAGCAACCGAGTTTGTCCTATCATGTCTTAAAAGTTAACCATTTTTTAGTTATTTGAATTTTAAGTTTTTTATTTTTTATTCCGATTTCAGACGGTTAAAATCGAAATACAAAAAAACGGCATGCTTGATTTTGAGTTTTTTGTTACCGTCGCATAGCAGACATTCCAATAGTTCATAATAAGTAATAAAATGTTGAAAAGCTACAAACGTTTTAAAATTACGCTTTTTAAATGTATCATTTTCTTTTTTTTACTATCTTTTTCGATAAAAAATGCAATTTTCTGTAAAAAATCTAGTAATGAAATGTGCAAATTTTGTAAATAATATCTATCTAACAAGCTTTCATTAGATTATTAAGCGTTCAATTATCTGAAGTGCATGCAGAGAAACAACAATGACACCCACAGAGGCTGGATTTTTAAGTAATTTGTATTACCTGTTTGAACAAGGCGTTACTGTCCTCAAAGGACTCGCATGCCATGATTCTTTTATGGCATCGGCTCCACAAGGAAGCGAGCGAGAAGAGCTGACTTAGTGGAGGAGTGAGAGAGAGAGAGCTGTTATTCATCATTGTAGATACGCCACCGCCGCACGCCGAGTGAGAATTAGGTTTAGTTGATATCAACTACTGCGTACGCGCACACGTTTTACGCACGATTATTATTTTCGAGTTTCCCAGTTCATTTCGAGTGGTTTCTTTATCATCATGGCAGACGCAGAAGATCCGCCAGGACCTCGCCATAGCGAGCACGGGCAAACTTTTACAAGTGATGAATACGCAGACATAATGTTCTGTTATAGACTTTGTAACGGCGATTCTGCAGCTGCCCGCCGCGAATATCGGCAACGTTTCCCGAATCACCGAACACCTCATGTTACTGTGTTTGACGCTGTGTATCGGCGCATCCGCCAAACCGGACGTGTTCAAAGGCAACATAGTGATGCTGGTCGACCCCGAGTCTATCCTCCTGAAGATGAAGAGGAAATCTTTCGTGTTTCAGGAAGACCCTACTACGTCTACGCGCATTGTGGCTGCTCAGTTGGGTATATCACAATACAAAGTATGGTTTACTGTGCATACTGCAAGATTATTCCCTTAACACTACACGCCTGTGCATGTGATTGAGAGGGCGATCCTGCAAGACGATTAGATTTCTGCAGATACATGTTACAGGCAGATACAGAAGATCCAGTCTATTTGAAGAAAATTCTGTGGACCGATGAATCGAACTTTGATAAGGACGGGATCACTAACTACCATAATGCTCATTGCTGGGCTGATAAAGAAGCTTTAAACTCCCGAAAAATAAGGCCGACGGGGTCTCAGAGCCGGTTTTCAGTCAATGTGTGGATGGGCATCATTGATGGATATTTAATTGGACCTCATTTTCTGCCCGCCAATTTAAATGGAGAAGTGTATGAAGAGTTCTTGAAAAATCACTTGTTTCCATTAACTCATTCAACGCCGCCAACGCGCCAGGCGCGTTCAGACTTGTTTACGTTCGGTGCCACCAACGCTCCTAGCGCGTTTTGTGTGTATATCCACTAAAACAGTTCTTATTCTGCCGGTACGACGAGTAGACTGTTTATTGTTTGGCGGCACATAACAAACACTTTGAAAAATTATAAATACGTGGCGGTTTCTTATTTGAATGTTGTTGCCATTAATTTATGTGCTTACAAATCGATTGTAAGTTGTATTATTGATTACATGGAATAACGTTTTTTTACAAGGTAAGTTTTATTTCTATTTTAATCTAAAGTATTCTCCAAGTGACAAACCCGTTTCGAAAGGGCGAAACAGTACTGTGTGCTGTTGGCTATTGATCGCGGAAGCGGTACATAAAATATTCTTTTCTATTTCAGTACATACAGTACATACATAATGGAGGACAGCGATATGCAGCCATCAACATCGGCAAAAAGAGGCAGATATGAAAGCAAACGTCAGTTAACCAACGAAGAGTTACTGAATATCTTAGAAGGGTCATCAGATGAATCGGACGAAGAGATGGAGTTGGAAATGTCAAACAGTGATGACGCTGGAAGCGATAGCGATGAAGGGGTTGTGCTTTAATCTGCAACTGGAACATCTCAAGTACCTCTCAGGGTATGGCTAGCGGATCGTCCAGATCAAGACATAATACCATTTACAAGAGTATGCAGACTAAAAGTAAATATAGATGGTAATCGACCAATCGACTACTTCAATTTGTTTTTCACTGATGAATTCTTTGACCTTATAATTACAAATACCAACAATTACGCTATTGAGATACTTGCAACCACGGTTTCAGATAAAAGCAGAATAACAAGTTGGAAAGATGTTACCAAGGAAGAATTAAAAATATTTCTCGGCCTTCTTTTCCACATGGGTACTATAAAAATGAATCGTATTAACGATTATTGGAAAACCCATTACCTTTTCAATTTACCTGCTTTTTCTAACAACATGAGCCGAAATCGTTTTCTGCTCATTTTACGAGCATTACATTTTAATGATAATTCGGCCCCTGAACAAAACAGATTATCTAAAATATCTCCACTAATGAATTTTTTCAACTCTAAAATGTCTGAGCTCTACTATCCTGGTAGGGAACTAGCTATTGATGAATCCATGGTTCTGTGGAGGGGAAGGCTGAGGTTTCGGCAATACGTTCAAGGGAAACGACATAAATTTGGGACTAAATTATACGTCCTTGCAGAATCTAATGGATTAGTTCAAAAAATTCTCGTTTACGGAGGATCTGCAGATCCAAACCTAGGTGGTAACAAACATACAGAAAAAGTTGTCCATAGTCTATTAGAAGACAAAAAAGGTGTAGGACATTCGGTTTATATGGATAGTTTTTATAATAGTGTCGCATTATCGGAAAAATTACTTCAAGAGAAAACATACACCACAGGCACACTTAGAACAAATAAAGTTGGAAATCCAGAAGAAGTTATTTCTAAAAAGTTAAAAAAAGGAGAATGTATTTCTCAATATACAAACGATGGACTCTGCGTCAGTAAATGGAAGGACAAGCGTGATGTTCTCACTATTTCTACGGAATTTGATAGTGAAATGGTCAATGTGATTTCCAAAAGAGGAATAGACAAAAGAAAACCAAAACTGGTCTGAGTACAATAAATATATGGGTGGTATTGACCAAAATGACCAGATGCAAAGTTATTATTCCTGTGAACGCAAAACACTTCGTTGGTACAAGAAGTTGGGGATCCACATTTTCCAAACTATGCTTGTAAACTCTTACTATTTATTCAAAAAATTTGCCGACCGGAAAGCAAGTTTTTACGATTTCAGATTAGCTATTATGGAATTCTTGTTGCCACCTGCTCCAAAAGCACAACGACCTACAATGATTTCTCATCTCCCAGAATATTGCTCAAAAGATTTGAAAGGAAAAGCGAAAAGGCGCAGATGTAAATATTGTTGGGAAGTGAAAAAATTACGGAAGGATTCTACATATTTCTGTCCACAATGTCCGAACGAACCTGGACTTTGTCTCACACCTTGTTTCCGAAATTTCCATGAACGTATGTAGTTTCATGAAAGTCTTGACTTCTGCTTGTTCTTTGGAATTTTGTTTCATTTAGTAACTTTATTTTGTATCATGTTACTGTTTTTCAATAAAAAAAATTACAATTTCAGATAAACGTGAAGAATTTTCATGAATGTGACAAGTTTTCGAAATACTGTTTCCACTTTTGTCTTTTATTTTTTGTATATTAGTATATTATGTTTTACCTCTGTACAAAAAGCAAAAATTACAATAAAACGTCAGGAATTTCATGACAGTAACTTGTCTTAGTAATACAGGTTTCACTTTTGTTTATTATTTGTATTTTTGTGTCTTATGTAAATTTTGTTTGATAATGTAAAATTTTTTGTATTCCAGATGTGGTGGCCAGCAACAAGCCCAGATCTCACACCGATGGATTACTATGTGTGGGGACATATAAAAAGCCTGGTGTACGATGTTTCGCCCGTACCAACGCGCGATGAATTAATTACAAGGATAATCAGTGCAGCTGACCAAATAAAAAGCCGCTTAACAACTAGAGTTACCAAAAGTGAATTACGTAAGAGAATGCGAGCGTGTATTCGTAACAGGATATTACAATTTGAGCAGAATCTGTAAAATACTAAAGGAAATGTAATTAAATAAAACTGTAATTAAAATAGAAGCCTTTTATTTATCCTACGTAATTATCGTTCGTACAACTTTACTCATATTTTTTTAATTTTATGTCTTTGTACTTGAGTTAATTGTAACTTTTATACCTCGAATGAAAGCTTGTTAGATACAGATATTATTTACATAATTTGCACATTTCATTACTAGGAGATTTTTTTCAGAAAAAAAATTTTTATCGAATAAGTTAGTAAAAAAATAAGAAAATCATACATTTCAAAAGCGTAATTTTAAAACTTTTGTAAGTTTTCAACATTTTATTACTTATTATGAACTATTGGAATGTCCGCTATGCGAAGATAACAAAAAACTAAAAATCAAACATGTAGTTTTTTTTACTTCAAATTTAACCGTCTGAAATAATAATAATAATAAAATTCAAATAACTCAAAAACAGTTAACTTTGCTCGGTTGCTTTTGACCTAATCTATAACTTCTTAACAGGAATACGTGACATTACAAGTCACCCTGTATACGCACCTCGTTTGGTATTGATCTCGCACATTGTAGTCCTCAGCGCTAGCCGCCTCAAGGTATAAAAATGCTCTACCAATAATGGCTAAATTCTCAACCTAGGAATGTAATGTACTATTGTTACTTACAAGGGGTTATTCCTTTAGTAACGGCGAGGCGTGGTAAAAAAATTTCGACTAGTAGATAATGTAACAAAAGTTTGGGAATCCAACTGTCGTATCTTCATAACTTGTTTTTTAGATACAAATAAGGAACCTGGGTATATGAAATTAAAGGGATCAGTGGATAGAAACGCAATGCAATTTTTTGAATTACATCTTCATTTTTGTGAAATGCTGAGCTAAAAAATAACAATAACGAAAACCTGGTAGCCTGATTTTCATCCTTAAAACACCAAAAACCTGAAAAAAACGCACACCTTATGCCCGATCTTTGAACCGTCTTTAGGTAACTGAAAGGTACAGCGCTTTGTTTTTTCTCTTCCAGGTTAAATCGACTGCCTATAAAATGCTATAGACCAAGATGGATCTCCGTACAAACCTTGATTACCTTCGAAAATGTCTTATGTTTGGTTCTCGCCATCAGTGTCATCTCAGTCGATATTCTCATTATGACCATACTGATTCTCACATCGATTCAGTTCAAAATGGTCAATTCTGAAATGAGATCCTTGTTCACTTGTGAATGCGACAAAGCTTTCGTCAATAAGGTGATCAAACAAAGAATGAAGAGGTTGATTGATCATCATAATTTTCTACTTGAGTAAGTATATTGAACAATTGTGCAACAAAATACTGAAATAAGTACAGGGTGTTTCTATCAGTCGTCTAATAGGCAGGACATGAAACCGAGGGGCAATTGATTGGGACATGTCAAATTTTTGTCTTATACAGGGTGTCCCGAAAAGAGTGTGCAATATTCTACCAGCGGTTTCTAGAGCTTAAAATAGGATGAAAAGTTTACATAAACATAGGTCGACAAACGTCCCCTAAGAGCGCTACGGTCTTTTAAAGGGGCTCCCCTGAAGATGGTTTTTCCTTAATATTTCCGAAACGTGTTGAGATAAAGACATAAAATTTGGTATTCCAGCCTAGATTTTTATGCTGGATTTAGAGTATTAACAATTTTAGTCAATTTTGTTTGGAAGCATATGTAACAGGGACGGACTCAGGTAATTTTAGCCCCAAAATTTTTGTGTGATTCTATTTTTGAAATTCAATTTTAGAATTTGAAAATTTAGGGTTTTATACATAAAAAAGATCGATGAATTGTGCCATTTTTGAATAAAATCAAACTAAAAAATTTGTCACATGATAGGAAATGTACTGTGAATTTAAATGAATTGTTGATTATACATAGTTAGCCGTGACTGCAAACATAAGTTGTTTCGATTTGTTATGACTTATTTTGACGTTAAGCTAACATTGTTAGCAGTGTGAAATTACTAGATTGCCATCAAAATTTTTACTAAATCGATTTAAAATGCCAAGATTCACAGACAGCGAACTGACTGGCATGCATTTTGTGTACGGGTTTTGCAATGGCAGTTCATTGGCAGCCGTAAGAGAATATCAAAGAAGATTTCCCAATCGCATAGTATCTGGACGTCGAATGTTTACTGATATTCACCGGAATTTGTCAAACCATGGAAATTTTCAGCGCATGCAGGGCTCAGGAAGGCCACTGGGAAATCATCGTATGGATATTGCTTTAAATATGTTTGAAAATAATACCTCGATCAATAGTAAGAAAAATTTATGAATACCTATTTGATAGTTATCCTAAAAATAATAATTTTAGACAGGAAGAATGACCAGAATGCAAGGATTACATCCTTATCATTTTAAACGCGTGCAGCATTTAACGGAGGCAGATTTTTTACCACGAATCGAGTTTTGCCAGTGGATATTAGCAAATGAAAACACTATTCCTAGAATGTAATGGTCGGATGAGTCAATATTTACTAGGAATGGTGCGTTTAATTTCCATAACATGCATCACTGGTCAGATGAAAATCCAAAAGTTGTTCGCCGTACAATTTTCCAACAAGATTTTCATTGAACTTATGGGCAGGAGTAATTGGGGATCAAGTAATTTGGCCTATTGTACTTCCCAATCGTCTTAATTCAGAGGTGTATCTGAACTTTCTTCAGAATGAGCTCATGGATATAATACCATTGGATGTGCGCCAGCAGTTTCAAAAAAATATGTTTTTTCAACAAGATGGCGTCCCTGCACATTTTGGACGCAATGTTCGAAATTGGTTGAATGTCAATTTTCCAGACAGGTGGTTAGGCCGAGGAGGTCCTATAGCGGGGCCGCCACGTTCACCTGACCTAAATCCATTGGATTTCTATTTTTGGGGGTCATTAAAAGACCTAGTTTACTCGACTGAAGTAAATACTCAAGAAGATTTACTTCAAAGAATCCATCAGGCTGCAAATGAAATAAGAAGAAAAAGGTTTTCCACTTTTCGGGCTACGCAATCATTAGTTCGTCGAGCGAGACTTTGTATCCAACAAAATGGGAATTTATTTGAACACTTATTGTAAAGCTAGCTTTAAGTATATCCAACTCTTCTTTTTTAACCAAATTTCAATTTCGTTCGTAGAAAAAAATTATTTCTTTTCTTTTTGACTAAATGTTAGCTATGTTGCAGTAGAATGTATTTATGTAATATTTGCCAATTATTAAATTAGTTTTTTCGTTGCCATGGATAATTATTCAAGCATTCATTTAAATTCGCAGTACATTTCCTATCATGTGACAAATTTTTTAGATAGATTTTATTCAAAAATGGCACAATTTATCGATATTCAATAAGAGTACCTTTTTTATGTAGAAAATTGAATTTCAAAAATAGAATCACACAAAAATTTTGGGGCTAAAATAACCTGAGTCCGTCCCTGTTACATACGCTTCCAAACAAAACTGTCTAAAATTGTTAATATTTTTAAATTCAGCATAAAAAACTAGGCTAGAATACCAAATTTTATGTCTTTATCTCAACACGTTTCAGTGGAGCCCCTTTAAAAGACCGTAGCGCCCTTAGGGGACGTTTGTCGACCTATGTTTATATAAACTTTTCTTCCTATTTTAAGCTCTAGTAACCGCTGGTAGAATATTGAACACTTTTTTCGGGACACACCGGGTGACTTTGAAGTTGAGTCATTAATTTTCAGATAATGATTGTAAAAGGAAGATCAACCAAAATGTGTGTGTAAAAATAAATAAAAATAAAAAAAATTTTACCTTGTTTTATAAAGTATCCTCCGGACAAGTATTTCAGTGCGGACCTGTATTTGATCGTGAGGTCTTGGAGCACCGGCATGCCCTTCCCTGTGATGTCTTAAGTCACCTGATTCACGAGCCCGTTGTACTACATTAACAAAGGCACGAGGGGTTGGTTGCACTCGATTGGGAAACCGATCCTCATAAACATGTGCCATTT